CCCGCCATGATTTGACCCCTCCCCTTGTCTGTTATATTCTGGTCTCCAACATCCTCTTACTTCGTATTCGAGCCCTCCACGATTAATTCCCTCCTTTCTCTTCAAGATTTTCTTCCAACGGTTACGATGCATCCTTCTTTCTACCGCATCGCCTTCTCTTGCGATCTAGACGTCATCTTAGTGTCCTTATTCCTACCCTTTCTTGTCGTATTTTGTTTCTTCTTGCTTGTCCTCGTGGAATACATCCCGGTCTCCCATGCCTCTCCCTCACTTAATTCCATGCAACGCCCCACTTCAATGCATTACCACCGAATCATGTTCTCCTTTAATTCTCTTGCTTTTAGTTCTCATCATGTTTCATCCCGTGTCTTCATTTACCTAACTTTTATTTTTGTCTTCCCGTCACATTTACCACCCCTTTCGTTTATTCCTTTCCGAGCTTCGCTTTATTTTGTTTTACGTTACTTCCTCTTCTTGCCAGTTTTATCCTTTCGCACCTCATCACTTGTACTTTCCCTATTGCTTCTTCGTGCTTTTGTCATTCTTACTGTTTCTTGTACTCCTTTCTTTTCCATCTCTTTTACTTTCCTTTTTTTTCTTACTTCTCGGGTTCCTTTTCCATTCCGGCATTCGTATCCTCTTTTGGTACGTTTCTCTTTGTCGTATCTCCTCTCTTCGCATCCTCAACTTTTCCTCCAATATTTCCCTCCCGTCCATAACCTCTCCTCGTCTACCTCCTCCTCCTCTACCTCCTCCTCTATCTTCTCCTCCTCTACCTCCTCCTCCTCCTGCTCCTTCTCCTTTTCCTTCCCCCTTTTCCCCGCGGCTCCCGGCGATCCCTAGCCGGGGTCGAATCAGCTCGATTTTAAATGTATATCCGTGTCTTCCGCACGGCCTCGCAGATACCCTCTGATTTAATGAAACGACGCCAATTCCGCGCGACGCCCTCTCCCGAGGGTTTGGAGGCGGCGGCGGCGGTGTCTGACGCCACCCTCGCGCGTCTGGCGGGCCACCGCCCCCTCCCCCTCCCGCGGCGCCCAGCACCCCTGTTCTCCGAGGACTCTCCTCAAACCCTCCCACTTGTCCCCTCCCCTTCCTCTCTCCCTTCCCTTTTAACCACAGCAGCACAAAACTTTTCAAAGAGATACGCTGAGTCTAATTCCTACTCCATTTTCGGACCGAGTACGTAATCGTTGTATAATCTTAGGACTGATTTCCATTCCATCCTCCCCTCTTTTCGCCCCCCTCCCCTATTCTTTCCTCCCTGTCTCATCGCTCCCCCCACTCCTGGTCGCGTCTCGTTTGGACGTGCCGTCTGCGAAGTCTCGCCCGAAGCCCATGGTCTCCTCCCGCTGCAGTTACGACTTAACTTGGAGAATTAGTATACTGGGTAAGAGTATAAAAATAACTTGGGTTGACTCAGAACGCCTATTATACTGGAGAGTGTCTCCCGCGGGCCAGCTGAACACCTCAATTTCGCTATAAAGGCGATGGCGGTTTTGCCCGAGGCGGTTGCTAATCCGCTAACTCGCAAGAATCAGTCCGGCTGGTTCTCGGCGGGCGGTTTCCTTAGTTACCGAAGTTCGGTTGGGTGAGCGCCCGTCCGGGACGGTTCTTTGAGGACGGGGATGGTAAGGAGGATAGCCTCCGGGAGGACGGGCGGTTTATTGACGTCTTCAGGCCACCGACGGGTGAGTCATGACGTTCCAAGCTTTTGTTGGCTCGTGGATCCTACTCAGTCGTACGGGTAGATAGAAAATCACGCAACGTGGCAGTGGAATGACTTTATCTCATGACTTTGACTTCGTGGTTTGCCATTGACTTCTATTTTAAACTTTTTGGATGCCTTGCCAATGTCATAGAATACTCTACCAGGTACTGCATATATATTCTTGAATTATTTACTATTCGCAATTTTTACCACAGGGACGTTAAAAAAACACACAAGTGAAC